TTAGAAATTATCCCTGTATGTTATGTTTTTGCAAGTATTTATCCAATTGCTGTTTAAAATCTGTATGGACTCCATGGGCGTGCGCAACCTATTACATTAGGGTGTGCACCCTAAAGCACAAACACACGCCGTGTGTATATGTATGTATGTATGTATATATACACACAAATACATACACTGCTGTGTGCTGTGTGAGGGTGGTGTGAGGGTGCTGGTTGTGTGCTGTGTGTGAGGGTGTGTGTGTTTGTTAGGGTCCTGTTAGTGTGCTGTGTGAGGTTGCTGTGTGTGTTTGTGAGGGTGCTGTTAGTGTGCTGTGTGTGTGTGGAGGGGTTGTGGGGGTGGAGGTAAATTAGTATATATCCCCCCTCCCTTCCTACCTTATGTAGGTATAGCGCTGGCTCGGCATGATCTGACAGGTGAGATCCGGATATCTCCCCTGCCGGTCTCAATCCATAGGCGTGCCGCCGGGATTAGTGCGCACGCCTATGATGGACTCTGATATAACCACCTCTTCAGGCAGAGAATTTGACATCCTTATAGTTCTTACTGTAAAAAACAAACAAACAACATTTCTCTGCCTTAGATTAAATCTTCTTTCTTCCATCTTAAATACGTGACCTTGTGTCTGGTGTATAGCCTTGTTTATGAATAGATTTCCAGATAATGGCCCCAAATATATTTGTATAATGTTATATCCCCTCTGACATGCCATTTTTCCAAACTGAGATTAAACTTCTTAACCTTTTATTCGTAACTAAAATACTCCATTCCTTTGATCAAGTTTGTAGCTCGTCTCTGCATTTTTTTTTTCTAGTGCCTTGATATCATTCTTTAGAACAGGTGCCCAAAATTCAAGATGTGGTCTTACCAGCGATTTATAAAGAGGCAAAATTATATTTTCATCCCGAGAATGTATGCCCCTATTTATACATGACAAAACCTTACTGGCCTTAGCAACTGCAGATTGACATTCCTGCCTAATTTGATGTCCTGAACTGTTCGCTGAACGGTTCGCCATGGACTCATCATTGAGTAACCTTTGACCCTGTACCTCACAGACAGCAGACACATTCCAGCCAATCAGCAGCAGACCCTCCCTCCCACCTCCTGGACAGCATCCATTGTGAAGCTGCATTCTTAGTGAGCTGTTCAGGAGGTGGTAGGGTCTGGGAGGTAGGGTCTGCTGCTGATTGGCTGGAATGTGTCTGCTGACTGTGAGGTACAGGGTCAAAGGTTACTCAATGAGGAGTCCACGGCGAACCGTTCGGGACATCACTTTTCCCAAATCCTTCTTGTGTGTGGTTATCCCTAGTTCACTACCATTTAGGGTGTAAGTTGCTTGTGCTTTTTTTTACCCCAAAGTGCACAACTTTGCATTTCTCACCGTAACATTTAATCTGCCATTTTAGTGCCCGATCCCCCAATCTCTCTAAATCCCTCTGCAGCAAAGCAATATCCTGCTCACATTGTATTACCTTACAAAGGTTTGTGTCATCTGTAAACACTGATACATGGCTTTCAATGTCTATTTCACATAATTTCTAAATTTGTTAAATAGAAAAACAGAACCCTGAGGAATAGATTTACCACTTTTGTCCAGCTTGAAAATTTACCATTAATGACAAGTCATTGTACTCTATCCTTAAGCCAATGTTCTACACACCAGCATTATTCATCTAGACCTGGGGTTCTCAACCCAGTCCTCAAGGACCCCCTACCAGTCCAGGATTTAGGGATTACCTGGGTGTGTCTAAGGAAAAACAAAAACACACCTTAGACACACCGAAGTAATCCCTAAATCCTGGACTGGTAGGGGGTCCTGGAGGACTGGGTTGAGAACCCTTGATCTAGACCAATTTCTTTTAGTTTGAACACTAACCTATTGTGAGGAACCATATCAAATGCCTTGGCAAAAATCAAAATAGATCACATCCACTGCAACACCCTGATCTATACTTTTACTTATTTCTTCGCAGAATGCAATTAGGTTAGTTTGACATGACCGATGTTTCATAAAACCATGCTTATTATTGCGAATAAAGTTCTTCCCAATGAATTCCTGAATAGTATCCCTTAAAGTGGCACTGTCATGGCCGAATCCCATTTTTGTTGTTTTTAACCCCGACTCCACTACCCCTAGTCACCCCCAAATGCCTCTAAGCCCCCCATATTACCTATTTGTAATCTTTATTTTCTGCCCCGGGTTGCTTGAAGTCATTTGGGGGTGACTAGGGGTAGTGGAGTCGGGGTTAAAAAACAAAACAAAAACAGGATTCGACCATGACAGTGCCACTTTAAGGGATAGCTATATTGCGAGTAGGGGTATGTCGACTAAACAGTGAGCAGCCTGTCTCCCCCACGCCGCTCAGGGGTGGGGAACAGTAGGTCCCCCCTCATTATCTTTATGGCCCCCACCCGCCACTCAGGAGTGGGGGGGAAGACAGTAGGTGTCCCCCCTCGTTATCCTTATGGCCCCCACCCACCGTTCAGGGGTAGGTGCCCGGGAGAACGGGGGAGGACAGTAGGCCCCCCCTCATTGTTATGTTGGGCCCCCACCCACTGCGCAGGGGTGGGAGCTGGGGAAAGGACAATAGTTGTTTTTGTTGTGTTTTTTACAGTGAGCAGTGGTTGCTCACTGTTTACTAGACATGCCCCTACTCATGGTATAGCTAGTAAAGATTGAATTTACTAATACTAAGTAATTTTTACTTAGTATTAGTATTAGTAAATGTGGCTGAAAGACCAATTAAGGTCTTTCAGCCTTTTTGTAGATAGCTCCCTGATACTGTGGGAATTAGGGAGTTATCTATTAAGCAGCTGCAAGATGCAGCCACAGCACGAATAGGATCAGAGTTTCATTCATTCGAATCAAATTCCAATCCTAACAGTCACGAATTGCGTTCTAACACGAACAAACTGTTCTCATTCTGTTAGGACGCAATTCGGCAGTTTTGCCGGCGTTCTGTCTAAGTGACAGGACGTTCGGCAGTACTGACAGGAAGCATTGTGGGAACAGGGAGGAGAAAGCTAAGGATTGTGGGAAAATTGCTGTGACCACCGGAAACGAAGCACACTTTGCTCCTCCGCTGGTCACGGCCATGGCAGCCTCCATAAGAGAAATAGTCCCTACTTTGTCTTAATTTTTAAAGAAAACTAGAGCAGACAGGAAGAAATGAATAACCGATCCTGAGAGAGGGAGAGAAGAGGAATCGATTGGGGAAAGGTAAGTTCGGCTTGACAGTGCCGCTTTAATAGCCCTTCAAATATTTTCCCAGTCCCAGAAGTTAAGGTCACAGGTCTATAATTTCCATGCAAGGATTTTGAACTCTTTAAATATAAAAAGGCCGTGTGTGTAGGCAACACAATATGTCTTGTGGGCTGCCATCTTGTCTCATTGCATCCAAAGCCCTAGAAGCACGTTCGAACTACACAGAATCAGGCGGCTCTGACCTGATAACTTGTTTAAACAGAGCCTCCAGGGTGCTTGTGAGGGGGGACTGCATCTGATTCAGGGAGGACATGGACGCTGATATTGTATCTACTGTGGTTCTCATGGTCTTCCAGCTGCATGCTGAGCAAGATCAGCATATTGCCTTGCCTAATAATGGCCTTTTCAGCGGCCCTGTGTTGCTGGTGTCAATTCTGAGCCGCAGTCTCCACTTTGTCCACTGTTCGTGCAATGTCACGTCAGTGCATAGGGTTGCAAATTCTTCGTGTGGAGTTTCTGTACCAGCAAGCTGGCATCCACTTTCGTAAGCATCCTTGAGGAGATCTGGGTGAGCTCAGCCAGAGTCGCCCTCCAAGGATGAGTCGCCCACACTCTACAAACCTGGAAGAGGTGAGCGCCATCTTGTCAGTAGGCCATGGGCCCCTCCGATCCGACAGCATTGCCATGCCACAAAATCACCCATCATCCCCATATAAGGTCTTGGCGAGACCACCACGGCAGTCCCAGGGACCAACAGCTTCTAATTATGCTGTGGAGCTTATTTAGCGTGTTTGAATATTCACCCTAGTTTCAATATTCATATTCTGAAATGCTCTGATGAGTCACAACATAAAACCAATTGCCTAATATTGCTCGTGCTGCCAAAACAGCTGATTCGTCAAGGCAAGAACGTCACAAGATGTCCTATGGTACCTGAGGAATTAGCAGAAGTTCCTTCTAAATCCTGCAAATTGTGAGGTAAGGCCTCTATGGATCAGAGTTGTTCCAGGACATCCCACAGATCCTCAAATATCGGATTAGAATCTGTGAAATTTGGAGGAGATCAAGGCAATACCTTGAACTTTAATTTTTACTCAAACCATTGCTGCACAATTTTTGCAGTGTGGTAGGGTGCATTACCATGCTGAAAGAGGCCACAGCCATCAGGTTACACCATTGCTATTAAGGGGTGTATGTTGTCTGCAACAATGTCTAGGTGTTACATGCCAAAGTAATATCCACATGAATGACAGAGACCCAATGTTTCTCAGCAGAATACTGCCCAAAGCATAAACCTGCCTCTACTGGCATGCCTTCTTCTCATAGAGCACCCTGCTGCCATTTCTTCCCCAGGTAAATGACACACACCTTATCTAAACTAAAATGTTATTCATCAGATGAGGCAACCTTCTTCCAGTAGCCCTCCTAATGAACAACTCATAGAGGTCCGTTAAGCTGTTAAAAGGCCACAGTGGTGATTGGGCCCCTGAATACACGTAGCACCTCAGCAAGTGTTGTGCAGCCCCAGGTTGCACCATTATGTCTGACGGGCCGCATCTGCGGACTCAATGGGACAGCTGCTTTGGGCCCACCATATGAGTTTCTTCCTCACAGGCAGGTATGTGGGTTATTAAACTGGAAAGTAACTCTTCGCTTTGGGTACATTTTCTGAGCTGGGTCTTTAGCACCCTGAAATGTATGAGATCTGTCACTCGTGTCCCCAAATAAAAAAAAATAAAAAAAAAAAAAGGTTAACAGATTTCCGGTGTATCCAACAAAAAAATCCAAACACTTAAGAGTTAGAGACTGGATTTATTACAACTGAAAGCTCCTATGCGGAGTTATAGAGTTTGCAGACAACGTGTTTATGTACACAGTATAAGCATCTTAAAGGAAGTCCAACAAAGCCACATCAAATCTATTGGTCCTTATATTCCTTTGGTGTAATTCTGCCAACCGGAGACAGATTCCAAGTGATTCCAGTCTGTGTGACCACCTGAAAATAAAGCAGTAATGCAAGGTGTTTAAAACTGAACTTCTATTGAACATGACTAATATGTAAACAATTTCCAAGACCTAAATTACACAGTTTATTGCATGTTATTGCCCCCTAGTGGAAGACATGAAAAATTAGAAATCTTGACATCTTGCTCCAATAGCATGATGAATTTAACATAGCTATTTCCTTGACTGTATTTACTAGTATGAATGAAATACTATCATCCCATAACTATTTTAATGACGCAGTTATGGCTCAAGTCACTGGGCGCTGTTTTACTTTACAGGGTTAAACCATTTTTAAATGGGGTAACCATTCAGTTGCCCCCAACACCTGCCAACAGACCTACTCCAGTTGTTGCAGTGATCAAGAAAGTTGTCTTGGTGGCTGATAAGCTGATGCTCACAGCCTCTCACCAGCACCATGGCAAACTAATACTCAGATTAATGCCACATGGATCATAGAGTACTTTTAAGAACTAAGTTATCACAGCACACTGCACTTAATAGCTGGCACAAGGGTTTCAACAAGAGAACTTGAATATATATGAAAGTGTATCTGTGCCTCCCCCCGGACACATCAAGATCAGCACAAACTCAAACATCAGAGAAGACAGAAGCCGGGGATTAGTTTATAGTAAAACCTCACAGGGTTATTCACTAAAATTAGAATTCAAAGTGAATATTTAATTGAAGGCCAAAGAAGGCAAAATGGAAGAATAGCTGAGAAGGGTTTACAGTTTAGCTAGTTTTAACTTTACTTTGTACTCTCGCTTTAAAAAGGACACTGTTCAAAAAAGTACTTTAGCTTAATGAAGCAGTTTGGTGTGTAGAGCATGCTCCTGTAGTCTCACTGCTCAATTCTCTGCAATTTAGGAGTTAAATCACTTGTTTCTGTTTATGCAGCCCTAACCATACCTTCCCTGGCTGTGACAAACATTCTGCTTAAAAAAAAAAAAAATTAAAAAAAGTTTAACTTCAATCAGATGATAACTGCATTAGAAGTTTTTATCTCATGCTCTGTAAAGTAAACTTTTCCCACACATAAGGCACCTGCACGGTATAGGAGGCTAAAAACAGAGCAGGATATAATAAATTAGATCTCTTCACAGTTTAGGAAGGCTGTGAAGTCACTGGCAGGGAGGTGTGACTAGGTCTGCATAAACAAAGTGATCAAAATCATAAATGGCAGAGAATTGAGCAGCGAGACTGCTCGGGCATGATCTATACACGTCAAAACTGATTTGACTATAGTGTCCCTTTATTGAATACCCCAGTTCGTACACAAGAACTTTTAATCATTTTACATTAAAAGGGACACCACATCTTGCGTTGTTTAGGTGTTAGCTGCACGTTTTCCATGCAAGATTGTTTAATAGAAGTCACATTTTTATAAACCATTTATTAATAAACCTGCACACATCTATTGTAAAAGCCATCTTTAAAACAACTTGTTTCTGCTTCTAAGGAGAGCTTTCCTTCACCCCAGTAAATGCTATATCGGAGTTTGCTGAGAAAAACAAAGCAGCAGAGACAAGGTTACCAGGGCAAAAAGAACCCGCTATTGCGGTTTTGGTGTCAGGAGTCCAAGTACTATTTTTTGGTTTAAAAGTGTCATTTTTTTAATGAAACTCCCAGCAAACTTAAGAAAAATAGAAGGAAAGTTGACACCTGAGTATTTAAGAAAATAGACTATTGAAAAACTACATATCTCCTTATTGTGGATTCCTGAACTCATTACCACTACAGGGTGCTGCTGTAGAGCCCTTTCAAATGTATAGAGATGTGTTACATGTGAAAAGGTTTAGTTAAATAAATTCTTAAAATACTCACATAGCTCCAAATTGAGACACAGAAAACAGCCCCCGATAGCAGGATGATGTTTCCATATTTGTCATGGAAGTTAGGACCCGCTTTATGATGAGCCTGTCTAGAGACAGACCGCTGAACACCACGAGCTGGGAACAGAAAGATACACAAGCATTATATAACCTTCACAAGCAAGTTCATTCTAATAAAGGATAACAGCTCATAAATCAGTAAACATAAATTTTACCATCTTTGTATCTTGTTTACTAAAAATGTCATTGGATAAAGGCTGAAAATCCTGAGTACTCAACTATTCGGACGTGAAAGCTACTTGCCATTGTATACTTTGCCTTGCAACACAACTGTTAGGAATGAACAGGGCATACTTGGCAAAGACCGCCAAAGTGACATCCTCCTTTGTGTGAAGGCTGCAGCAGAGGTTAAAAATACTTACCATGAAGGGTAAGGTGTATTTTAGCAAAATAACAATCATAGTATTTGTCTTACCTAGAATGTGGGGGTAAAAGTGTATTTTAGCGTATTTTATTATTTGGAGTTAGTTATTTTGCCATTTAATCCACACCTGAACGAAACGGCAAATAAAATACACTTTTACCCATGAAGCTATCTGCTGTACAACTATGCATGCATGAAAGCACAACACTGGTTTATACAGAGCATCCTGTAAGATTCTATATAGACCAAGTCTCACTATCCATGAGAAGAACCCTGATTCTCATGGTGTCGCTGTCAAGTTGTGTCAACCTTAGGTTATACCATAAGACAAAGTAATGGTCTTGTACCATCTCTTGACTTTGTTGGAATTGCAAATGTTTGTCAAAGCAATTATGATTGTCTGAAGATCTAGAAATTTTGGGAATCTTGATTTCTCAAAATTATTGTGCAGAATTATTTGTGTATACATTCATACACACACACAAAAAAAAAAGTCTGTTCCTGCCAGGAATATTTGTTTTGATTTAATGCAAAGAGGTGACCTACTAGCATAGTGTGCAGCTTGTCTAAGGTGATGCCCTTCAGGACTAGCCATAATGTTAACCGAATGACAAGATTTCAGAATATTTTTAGCTGTAGATCAGTATTTTGCAAACATATTGATCCACAAAACATTTCATGACAAGCCTAAACTAAAACAGCTCTAAAATAGGGAGGGGAATAGCTACCAATCTAGAGGTGTTCGAATTGACATAAAATGACATTGCCTGTGCGCCAGAAGGCAGAATGACCCATTGCCCGTGCGCCAGAAGGCAGAATGACCCATTGCCTGTGCGCCAGAATGCAAAATGACCCATTGCCCGTGCGCCAGAATGCAGAATTACACTTCTATTAGCAGCTCTCAGTTTAGTATTGGAAGAGCAGGTTTGACTTACCAGAGAAAAGGTGCCCAAGTAATTTGTTGGTCTCAAACATCTAATGGCATTCACACACTGGCTGCATGGCACTCACACAGTTAATGAGATTAGGACCATTATGCAGGTTACCCAGATAACTCAATGAGAGGTCAGACCTCCCCCCCACTGCCATGGCCTCCCCTGCCAGCCAGGCTTGTTTATAGATCTCCCTGCTCTGCATGCAGGGTCAAGGCGGCCTTACCTGCCAGAGACAGCGCGGATCTTGCCAGAGGAAACATATTTCTGACTTCCTTCCTTACCCTTGAAAGAAATGGAGAAAAACAAAATGGCGACGCCGGATATCCGATCCACAACCCCGCCCCCTTTCTCAAGGGCAAACCGGATATAGCGCAAGGAATGCCGGGAGTTGTAGTTTTTTTTTAAAATGTACCTTGCAGATAAAACGCCAGCTGAATGACTAATTCACTGACATCACGGTGGAATGTGGTATTTTGACGGTCTTATCGCTTTATTAACAACGTCTTTGGGCTCTTCAGTCATGATGTGTGGTGTTTTATTAACATCGAGAAGTGTAACTGATATTATTTTTGAGAATGATATTGTTGTGTCCCTGTGAGTGAAGAATAAGGGTGTAAAGTAAAGTTACAAATATGTATTGGGAGAAGTAAAAGTGCTGGTGACGTCACGAGTGTTTTAGAGATCAAATATATTATTGGGGTTGCCATCCTAGAACATGTCAGGATGGCCGAGTGGTCTAAGGCGCCAGACTCAAGGATTTGATTCCTTCCTCAAAGAAGAGCGTTCTGGTCTCCATATGGAGGCGTGGGTTCAAATCCCACTTCTGACATATTTTTTGTTTATTGTTTAAAAATTTTAATAAAAATGTATCACTACATTTAGACATATTTTTAACTTTTTTAATCTTTAAAGAGACAATCTAAACACCAAAATCACAACATCTTACTAGGGTTACTCCGAGCACCATGACCACTTCAATGATGTGAAGTGGCCATGGCGTCTGGAGTCTGCGTCTCTTTTTAATTTTACTATGGGCAGCACACTGTAAATAATTTTAGGTTGCAGGTGGGGTCATAACGGCAAGTATTTAGAAAATTGGGCAGACTAGATAGGCCGAATGGTTCTTATCTGCCGTCACATTCTATGTTTCTATCGGTTTATGTAGGCAGATGAAGAATGCAATTTCATGTGCAGCAGTATGCAAACAGAGTAGTGGTTGTAGACTTACATAGGTTCATTTCCTTGAATCAGGGTTTAGCAGATTAACTCTGACTGTTATTTACTAAAGTGAGAATTCAAAGTGACATTTAAATTTAAGGTCAAAAAAGTAAAAGTGGAAAAGTCAACTATGCTTTCAGTTCAGCTACTCTGGCCTTAAAGGAGTACAATAGGCACCCAAACCCTTCATACCAATGAAGTGGTCTGCATGCCACGTCCCTGATGTTTTGTCCCAGCATTGTAGATCCACTAGAGTCACGTCCGACAAAGTAGCAGAGTAAAACTCTCCTATTTCAATTAGATGGTCTCATAGAGACCATCGGACCAGCTCAGCGTATTGCTGCACATGTGCATTAGCTTCCCAATGCTTTCCTATGTAAAAGCATTGGATTGGCTGAAATCAGCGATCGCAATAATCTCAGCCAAAGGAAATGGCACCAGCCACAGACAGAGCAGCACAGCATGGGGAAAATAGATATGTTTAATGCTTTTTAACTCCTTTCAGTTGAGGGTTGGGGACATAAACAGTTTACAGGGCACTATAGCTATTGTATTCATTTAAATTTGAAATTCACTTTGAATTCTCATTTTAGTAAATCATTTTGTAGGTGTAGAGCCAGCTCGATATTGCAGTGAGATACCATATTTATTAGAATAGTCGGTGATCTTGGAAGTATGTCTTCCAGCTCTCTGTCACTTTACCATACCTTCTGTAATGGATCACCTGGCACCCCAACTGGGTACCTTCCGTTGACGGATGCTCCTAGTGCTTCCTGAGGGCTCGAAGCACTTCACCAGACACCATAAATACTGCAGATCCCACAAACCGCCGCAGCTTGGTTGGGGTCTCACCGTCTTCCACCCACTCTGGACCCAAGACCAGGGTCCAGCTTCCAGTAGGTAGACCTCTCTTAAATTCAGAGAGCAGGAGCAGGAACAAGCTCTTACAAGAGCTTACTCTGGGGAATATAGTGATTATAGCAATCCCCAGAGTGTAGGTAGTTCTCCAATCACACAAACATGAGCCAAGACTTCATGAAGGGTAGAACAGGTCTGTTTAATGCAAGCCAGCACTCACAATTTATACAATTCCTCAGGCCAGAGGCACACCCCCTGGGCTTGATGGAACAGTGTAGGTAGTTCTCCAATCACACAAACATGAGCCAAGACTTCATGAAGGGTAGAACAGGTCTGTTTAATGCAAGCCAGCACTCACAATTTATACAATTCCTCAGGCCAGAGGCACACCCCCTGGGCCTGATGGAACACAGGCACACAAACCAATCAGAACAATACAACAATGTCTGACCATCCCACATACAGCACACAAGCCCTCCCCTTGGTCTGTGATACAATTAACTAAGACAATGGACTAACTCAATTAATTCTAAGCAGAAAAAAAGATAAATTTTTACAAACCCCAAAAAGTACCCCAAAATACAACATATCCCCACAAAAGTCACATCCACTGATAGGTGAACAACATATCCAAAAGTCACCCAGATCTGTTCAGGAATTTCCTGGAAGTTTTATTTTTGCCCCACCGTGCACATGGTCCCATGCCGAAAACAGTTCCGGCAAAACACTGCTGGCAATTTAAGATGGCTGCCGCCACATGTTTTAATCTGTTCCAGTTAAAAGTCCAAGGGGTAGAAACAGTGCCTTTAAAATCCAATATGCCGAAATAGTGTTTTTAAAGGGCAATATATCCCAGGGGCCATAGTCACAGGGCTAGAGGTTGGCAAGCAGGCCTCTCCAAATCCCAGTGATGAAGGTTCTTTCGTCACACCTTCCAACTCTCACATCCAAAGAATCAGGACGCTGATGGGTTAAGAATGCGGGGCCAGTGGTACTTACCTGTCACTGGCTCTGCCCAAAGGAGGTGACCAGGGTTAGAGTGCATTGAACATAGCGGTAAATGGGAGTTGTACATGTACAAATGGATCAGTTTTGTAGCTGTTACGCATTTCAAAGAGCAAATGCAACATGGATAAAACTACTGTGCTTACCAAAATGGCCTCCATATCTGCAGACATAATGTAATAAAAAAAAAAAGGAAAACAATGTTACCTAAGACAGTGTGCTATAGGGGAAAGGAATGTTGCAAGTGCACACAATAAAACACTTGGGACATTATTATTGCAATTATTAGTGTAATGAAAATAAATCATTCAGTAATTCCCAAAGTTATCTGATGGACAAGAGCTAAGTTGCAAAGCAGCTGAACATCTGTTGATTTATGGAATTTCATTCATATCCAAACCTAACATTTCCAGAAACTGCCCTGCATCAAAGGCTCCCTCTCTGATGCTAGGTGAGAGCAGCAAACATGAGATGCTATCTCCCTATTGACTTGTTAAAGGACCACTCTAGGCACCCAGACCACTTCAGCTTAATGAAGTGGTCTGGGTGCCAGGTCCCTCTAGGATTAACCCCTTTTTTAATAAACATAGCAGTTTCAGAGAAACTGCTATGTTTATAAATAGGTTAATCCAGCCTCCAAATCCTCTAGTGGCTGTCTCATTGACAGCCGCTAGAGGCGCTTGCGTGCTTCTCACTGTGAAAATCACAGTGAGAACACGCAAGCATCCATAGGAAAGCATTGTAAATGCTTTCCTATGACACCGGCTGATACGCGCGCAGCTCCTGCCGCGCATGCACATTCAGCCGAAGAGGAGGATCGGAGGCGGAGAGGAGGAGAAGAGCTCCCCGCCCGGCGCTGGAATAAAGGTAAGTTTAACCCCTTTCCTCGCCATCCAGCCTGGCGGGAGGGGGACCCTGAGGGTGGGGGCACCCTCAGGGCACTATAGTGCCAGGAAAACGAGTATGTTTTCCTGGCACTAAAGTGGTCCTTTAATAACAACTTATACCAAAGGCAGGTAAAGGGCTTTTCTCCTGGACGAACTACAACAAAGACCTGCAGGAGGGAATACCTCAGCTAGAGACAAACTATTGTAAAGAGATTCAGCATTTCAGAGACTCAGACTCATCCAGTTACTGCTCTGAAAGATCCACCAAAGTCAGATAAAGTTGGGACAAGTAATTTCTTGGACAACGGTGACAACTACTGTTGTCATGGTGTGGCATTATGGCTATTGGCTGTATACGTGCTGTGTTGCAAACAGCCAGAGCAGTGTTTCTCAACCTTTTACAGAGAAGAACTCCAGCAGGTCTAAAAAAATATTTCTAAGCACCCCTGCTTCGAGAAAGTAATTTCTATAGATTTAAATTCCAAACTAAATGTGCAGACACTGATAATTAAGTTAAGTCCATATTGGAGAATAAGCCTAATTAAAGGTAGTAAAGAATATTTTTTAAATAAATATGACATATGTTGTGGAAATAGGGTATTGATATATTTTCTAGTTAGTAAAATGTCTATTTACTCATCTCACTAAAATCAGCATATAAGCTATACACGCATGTTTAGACAAAATGGCTACTAGAAGCTTCTAACTCCTCCCTCTCTATAACACCGACTAACTACCTCGTGCAAAAAGATGGCGCTGGAACCCGTGGGAGACCCTCATGGTTCCAGTAACATCACCTTTAGTAGGCAGAGCATTAAGAAGACCACTTAACACTTAACCAATTATTGATGTATTATTCCAAGTTATCTCTGACAATGCTTATGATGTAATTTTGCTTTAAAAGGGACCTGCCGTTCCCTCTGAATAAACATTCCTCAAGTTATTCAACAACCTGGAACCTGTGTCTGGTGTGAATTACTTCAGGGAGCGTGCACGCATTGTTTCATTAATTTGGCCAGGGGCAGATACACAAAGAAATAATCAATTTATTGATTATTTTTCCATTTCAACATAATGTGAATATTGTAAGGAGGAGTGTATAAACTATTAATCTGAAGTGTAAAAGCAAAAAAAGAAGAAAGTATAATACATACATAATAGTTACACACAGAGGACACTGTCACACACACAGTTACACACAGAGGATGCTCACACACAGAGGACACTGATACACACACAATCACACACAGATGACACAGACACAAACATTTATACACAGAGGAAACTGACACACACACACTTACACACAGAGGACACTGACACACACACACACACTCACTGACAGACACACTCAATTATTTGACACACACTAACAGAAACATTCACTGACACACACAGAGGACACTCACCACACACACATTTTCACAAGGAGGAAACTGACACCCCCACATTAACACACAGAAAACACTGACACACAGACATTTACACACAGAGGACGCAGACACACACATTTACACACTTAGGACACGGACACACGCACAGTTACACTTAGATGACACCAAAGGCACACATTTACACACAGAGGAAACTGACACAGACACTTACAAACAGAAGACAGACACGGACAAACACATAAACACATACACACAGAGGACACTGACACACACTCTCACTGATTTCACACACACTGACAGCCACACTCCCATTCACTAGTAGATTACAAGAACTTGTAATATTATACTCATGAATCCCAGGATTTATGGGAGCCATTTTTTTACAATTAGCATTTAAGTAACATTCTGCAGTGATGTACAATAATTAATTGGGGATATAAAACAAAAATAGAGGAAGGAAAGACCATTTTCTGGGTACAGTTGTCAATTGCTTCCTTTTTTTTACATATATATATAAAGTGATTTGCTATTTTATCATCATTATTTATAATATAGAATGTTTCATAATATTATAGAATGTTCAAGTTCTATCTATATACACATATAAGCCCTGTATCTATATTAAAACTGTGCCTATGTCACACTTGCCATGCAATTAATAGTTGAATTGACTACATATAATGTTTTTTTGACAATGGTAACAGTGATACACACAGCACTCAATGTTTGTGAATGAAGTTGTCAGTCTGGCCCCGCCCCTATTCATACTAGCAAATAGGAGTGGAACAGCTAGCTTTAGTCCTATAGGCTGACCTTGGGGAACGTCCGCCAGTAAGGGACGCGTACTGACGCTCAGCCGGCCCTCAACGTCGTGACGTATTGACGTTTCATTTGTCTCTTCCTTGTAGAAGGAAAGTTTAGCCGGGAACATGGCGGCGATGAAGTGGTTATTGGTTGGGGGGATTCTGCTTGCACTTTGCGGGGGGTTTTCTGATGGGCAAAAGAAGAAGGAGGTGGGTGCTATATTTAATTATTTCACATTACAGAATGCACAGGAGCTGAGACTTTTAGTTTACCTACAAAAAAATAAAATGAACGGTTTAGTGCTGTTTGCTGCAGGATAAACTGTACCTTAATGATAATTTAGCTCTTATTTGTGTGTTTTATGCATTTTACCTGCATCTTGTCTGTTTTCATTGTGGGCTGGTTTGTTGCTATGCATTGTTCAATTAAAGCTGTTGTCCATTTGCAATATAAAAGTAAACTGTGCTTCCTATATTATTGATTTTAATTTTAAGACTTTTTTTTTTCTTCTTTTTTTCAGATGCTGTTATCGGAGAAGGTCGGACAGCTTGCTGACTGGGCTAGCAAGAGACCTGTAATTAGAATGAATGGTGACAAATTTCGTCGCCTTGTCAAGGCTCCCCCGAGGAATTACTCTGTTATTGTAATGTTTACTGCTTTACAGTCACACAGGCAGTGTGTTGTGTGCAAGTAAGTATATATTCCAAAAAAAAAAAAAAAAAAATATATATATATATATATATATATATATATATATATATATAAATGTATATGCAACATTGTAGCAAAAAAGGATACAATGTTGCTAGCATGGTTTATTCATTAGTTGTTTTGTTTTTTTAAATATTAAACGCTAATTACCTCAAAAGAACTATTATTTTCAAGATTTGAAATGCTGCCGTAAAGGCATTTTGTTTTATGCTTATTTTGATGTACAGTTCCTAAGAGAAAGCCATGATAAGCGAAATCTGAAGCATGTAACGAAAATATGCTTTCACAAGCGTCTTCAAATTCTTACCTTCACGGTATCGGGTCAAACTAGCAATTTAAAAAAAATGTCTTCAGTTAGTCTTTTTAAAATTTAATTTAGAATGGGCCAACATATTTTACAGCTCTGCGCAATGGAATATTTCTCGAATGTCTCCAATTGTACAATAATTTGTGTTTACGAACATTACAACATAATTAAAGAATATACCCTGCAGTATTTGACCTTGTGGAAATAAATCTGAAAATGTAAAGCAAAACTAGAGATTCGTGGTAATATACATATTTCTTCTAAAGATAAGTTCTACATAAATGTAACTGCAGTTACATGTTTTAATGTACATTTGCCTTGTAAGTTGTTTTTCCATAATCTATCTATGGTACTTTTACATTTGATTGAAGAGGTATGACTTTTTGCATTTGCACAGACAGGCTGATGAAGAATACCAGATCTTGGCTAACTCATGGCGTTATTCTAGTGCCTTTACAAACAGGATTTTTTTTGCTACGGTGGATTTTGATGAAGGATCAGATGTCTTCCAAATGGTAAAATAACGGATAATGTAGTGTAAAAAAAATTCTGCATTTTATGGCTTTCTAAGTGATATTTGTTTTTATTGTGCTAACGGCTAAATCAACAATATTGCATTGGGAATATAAACCTGTATTCCTAATGCTGTAATACCCCTGCCCCTACTTGGATACAGGTTCTCACACCAACCCTCCCTTCACACCCCCCCTTTTTATTTATTTTATTTGCAACACGTAGTCATCAAATGTGATGACTCTACAGTTTGGTCATAGAGTACTAGTACTTATGCATTCTGAAGCATTAACTTTCACCTGTGATGGCTGTAACTGAGGGATGAGGTTTATGCTGTGCAGGGTACCCATGGCAGGTACTTTTTTGCAATTCACTGTGAGATACCAAAGCAATCATTTCAGGGCTACTCTCTAACGTGAGAATTGTTGGGAATTCAAAATGAATTTCAAATTCTCCAAGTAAACTAGTGCTTCCTTTTCAGTTACTGTGGCCTCAAGTTTAAATCTCATTTTAAATTCCTGACATTTCTCCCTTTAATGAAAACCAGTTTCTTAGCTGGTGAAAGATTGCCTCACCTTATTTTTGTACTACTATAAATATACATATTTGATCTTTTGATTTAACTCTCCTTAAAAAAAAATATATTGCTACATGTAAATGCTTTAGGAGGATCCTGTTGGGCTGCTTTAAATGATTGCTGCCGGGTAGAATATATGTTTTTAAAAACATCTTTTCAAATCTAATTAGTAGATGTTGTACTGTTATAAACCTTTCCAGATTAACTGAAATACTTAATTTTAACCAGCTTTTGATAATGGTATTTTCTTCACAGTTGAATATGAATTCTGCTCCAACCTTCATTCACTTCCCTCCTAAAGGCAAACCCAAGAAAGGAGACACATATGAGTTACAGGTTCGCGGTTTTGCAGCAGAACAGCTTGCACGCTGGATTGCAGATAGGACAGATGTTAATGTAAGTGTAAATCTGTTCTTTTTTGAGTATTCACCACTGTATTATTCAAAAGGTTAATTGCAGAGCATTGTGTTCACATGACATCTGATAGCGGCACAACAGTCATGAGTTACACAAAATAGTGTAATAAAAATGGTTTATACCAAAATGGTAATTTGTAATGTACAGTGAAAACGTGTTATCTCTCCACAGATAAGGGTAATAAGGCCACCTAATTATGCAGGACCGTTAATGCTGGGCTTGTTGCTGGCAGTGATTGGTGGCCTTGTCTACTTACGGAGAAGCAATCTTGACTTCCTTTACAACAAAACTGGATGGGCACTGGCTGCATTGGTGAGGAACATAAAGAGTTTCTTTGTTAATAAAGAGTTCTATATGTAGCTCATTTATTCATACTTTTAAAATGCTACATCTTAGCGTGGTGTGTTTTATTTGAGTAAATGACTTATGAGTGGTGTGGTTTTTTTTTTGTTTTGTTTTTTTAACTCCATAAATGCCAAATTCTTTCTTTTAAAAAAATAAGTAGAAAATAAAATACTTTATTTAAAAAGGGATACATAGACATAATCATATGGCAATATACAACAATGTACATTTGCAAAATGGTAATTGGTTTTTCATTCTTGGACGAGGTGATGGAAGGAGTATCTCTTGTCTTCAGTACTTGTTGGCATGTTTGTGTTCTTATTCTCATCACTAGCAGATTGCAAATACTACCGAAAGTTATTCTGTCTGCAAAGAAAACAATTTCATGGCTAAAGATAAGCATCTGTATTATCTAGGGTTAAAGAAAGCAAACAAAAATAAAATCATGTAGCTGGGAATGACAGATTTGTAGCATATTGCACTTATTTCTGTGCTAATTGCAATGTTGTCTGAAATGTTTGTTTAAACATCTATCAATGCAAATAACAAAAACATTGTATATTTGTTTCAGTGTTTTGTGCTGGCTATGACATCAGGACAGATGTGGAATCACATTAGAGGACCTCCTTATGCACACAAGAATCCACATACTGGCCAAGTGGTTAGTATCACTTTCGCTTTATAATGTCAATTGCTGTTTTTTTTTTGTTTTGTTTTTATATATATATATATATATATATATATATATATATATATATATATATATATATATATATATATATATATATATATATATTTGTGGTCAGGGCATAAGCCGTAGTATAACTTATATAAATAGGACAAACCATGAAAGGAAATGTCAGTTGTGGTGTGCCGGAACTGACGAGGAAGTAGGCCTGAAATAAAAGAGGGCCTACCTTATAAAATGCTTATGAAAGCGGTGTGGTGGGTGGGAGAATCCGTCGCACCTAACAGGTAGTGAGGGAAGGGTCTGGAGTCCCTTAAGAAGGGTAACCCAGCCCTTCCCACAACTTCAGGCCACGCCTTCCATTTGTGGTCAGGGCATAAGCCGTAGTATAACTTATATAAATAGGACAAACCATGAAAGGAAATGTCAGTTGTGGTGTGCCGGAACTGACGAGGAAGTAGGCCTGAAATAAAAGAGGGCCTACCTTATAAAATGCTTATGAAAGCGGTGTGGTGGGTGGGAGAATCCGTCGCACCTAACAGGTAGTGAGGGAAGGGTCTGGAGTCCCTTAAGAAGGGTAACCCAGCCCTTCCCACAACTTCAGGCCACGCCTTCCATTTGTGGTCAGGGCATAAGCCGTAGTATAACTTATATAAATAGGACAAACCATGAAAGGAAATGTCAGTTGTGGTGTGCCGGAACTGACGAGGAAGTAGGCCTGAAATAAAAGAGGGCAAAAAGAGAACCATTTATTCGTCCTACAACCGGACATAACAGATTACAAATTCATAGTTTTGAAAGCCAGACGTACTTCTTGTATGGGCTGAGGTATGTATCTGGTGTATGCCGTAGATTTCCATCGTCCTAGTATCTGAATAATGTGAGCAGGGATATTCTTTTTAGAAGCGGTGGTGGCGGCTCCTATTCTAAAAGAGTGACCAGAGTAGCTGGCTGGGTTCAGTCCTAACCGAGCTAACAATTTCCTAATATACATCATGAATTGGCTCGTAGTGAGCTTATTGCCGTGCAAGGACAGGAGTGGTTGTGTGGGGCCCATATTGTCAAAGGCAAGAAGGGTGTCGAAAACCTTCACCGGGCACCAAGTATTACTTGTGGGGTAATAGGGTATAGTGACCGTTTGCCCGGGGGCGCTTGTTTTGGTATGTTGCAGTAACAGAAGATAGTGATCTTGGACCTTTATGAGATCGGACCTTGTGAGGAAAATGGGTGAATTATAGCTAGTAGTAGTGAATTCTCGGGGCCGTAAAAACCCGTAAAATGCTAGATAGATGGCGGCTTTAATTACACGATTAGTATGAGCTTCAAAGGGTGAGGTGTCTAGTAGTTTTGACAGTGACTGAAACAGTACATCGTGTATGGGTAGTCTAGTTGGTGAGGCTATAGGGGCGGAGTCTTTGATGCCTTTAAGTATAGCCTTAACTTGGTAGGACGACAGAAAGCGTTGTTTGTTAGGCCAAGTGGTGAGGATGTGATGCTGAATGCCTGTGATATATAATTTGATGGTATTGTAAGATAATGTTGGACGAAAGTGGCAAAAAGAAATAAAAGCAATAATGGTTTCCATAGAAAACTGGTCAGTGACATTAAAGTCCAACAAGAATTTATTGAAAACATGGAAAGCCCTTTCATATGCCTTCCTGGTATTATCGGAGAGACCGAGCTGTGAGAGTTGTCGCCCTTGACATAGCAGAATTTTTAGTCCCAGATCATTTCCTGCCACTTTGGAACTGGAGTTGGTATGAGGGCAGCTGTTGGCAGGGCCTCCCGAAACTCCTGAAACCGAGACCGTGACAAATGATCAGCTGCAATGTTGAGAACCCCAGGCACATGAACACAAGTGAGAAGAAAACTGTGTTTTGCAGCGAGCCATGTGAGAGTCCTCATGAAACGCATGATGGTGAGGGAAGAGGAACGCCCCTTGTTTACAATATGGCATGTTGCCATATTGTCCGAGAAGCAACGAACCGTATTCCCGGACCAACTTGCTCCCCACTTAACTGCTGCCGCTAAGATAGGATAGAGCTCAAACAAGGCTGATGTGTCCTTAAACCGGGGGATCTCTGTAATTTCCCTAGGCCATTCTCCCCACATCCATTCATTGCCCCATATTGCTGCAAAACCTGAGGTGGCTGCGGCATCCGTCCAGACTGACTCCGACTTCTCTGACCAAACTGGTATAAACATGCTTTTCCCGTTCCAATTTTGCAAAAACTCCTTCCACATATGTAGGTCAGCGGTGGCCTGTACGTGTAAAGTAATGCGGGAGGTGTCAGATTGCAACATTGGAAACAGGCTAAGTAACCTTGAAATGAATGCTCTACCTTGTGGAATGATTCTCATAGCGAATTTAGAGAACCCAACAAGGATTGCAACTCCTTCCTATTGCATGAGCCTCCTCCTAAGTAAAGGTCGATAGCTGCCAGGATGCGCTCAATCTTTTCTCTGGGTAGGCTAGCTTGCATGTGTACAGAGTCCAGTACCACCCCCAAAAAGTGGATGATAGTATCCGGACCCTCAGTCTTGGTAGGTGAAATAGGCACCCCTAGTTGTGTAAACAGTTTTGTGATAGACTGGAGGCTACTGGGAGGTACTAGGTTACTTTCTATGGTCAGGAAATCGTCCAGGTAATGGATAACTGTGGGACATCTGCAGATGTTAAGCAGCATCCAGCACAACGTCTCCGCGAAGATATCGAAAATCCTAGGGCTGCTTTTTGAGCCAAACGTGAGACGCGTGAAGAAGTAATATGAACTTCGCCACTTAACACCATGCAAATGCCATAGGGATGGGTGGATAGGGAGCAGCTTAAAAGCGTTGGCAATATCAGTTTTACTCAGCCATGCCCCTACCCCTGCTGAGAGTATGGCTGTGACTGCATGATCGATGGTGGCATACTGGAGGGAAAACTCCTCAGACGGGATTAGTGAATTTAGACTTGGGGTATGAGATGCATGGGGGGCGGACAGATCGAGAATTAATCTTTGTTTATTGGAGGATTTATTGGTGACCAGTCCTATGGGGTTTGTCCTCCAAACTGCGAAAGGCGGGGGGTTGAAAGGGCCTAATAAGAAACCTTGGTCAATTTCCTTCTGTAGGAGTAAGTCGATAGTGTTGGGTGCTGCCAAGGCTGTCTGCAAATTGTTACATTCTAGGATCCCCGTGGGCATGTGAATAATACCCGTGTGAAACCCCATCTTAAACCCTGTCACCAAAAAATCAACGAGATGTTGGGAAGGGTGATCCCGCAAAAGTTGTTTCAGTAGGGAGACATGAAGAGACGATAAGTACTGCTTAGGGTATAGTTTATTTGGGCACATTGCCTTGGAGTGAACTCTGAAACATAGTGAGCAAACATGGAGAAGTCTGCAGGCACTGTAACCGCAGGAACCTGAGTTGAAATTGTTACAGACCTGCGATTTACCCAAAAACACTATGTCACGGCCTAGTTTATCTTTAAGCACCTTGCCAGGTCTCCCTGTGGGTACTACATTAGGAGGTGGAAAAACAGCGTTTACCTCTGGAGAATTAGGGCACAGATTAGCCGTGTGAGAATTGGACGAGCAAATGGCACAAGCTGGGGTTTTTAGGCCCGCGAAGTGTCGGCAAAACAGCTCTGTATCCAGGACGCCCCAATCCGTTTGGTAATTGAACTGTGAAAGGGCTGCCGACGCCTTTGCGGAAAAGGCACGGTGGTAGTCGTAAAAAGACGTACCACCGTACTTATGCCCCAAATCCACCAGCTTGTGGAGATACAGGTCCAATTCCTCCCTCCTATCCGGGTATACCGAGCATATTACATCTCTGTATATACCGAAAGCCAGTACAAATTCTGGAATTGATAGCTTCTGATTCAACCTGGGGTCTCTGGACTTCAATACTACTGACACATCACCGTATGCGTAGGTCTTATTCTCTAGGACATCTTGTGAGGCTATCAAAAGTGAAACCAAATTGATATCTTTCCCCTCCAAGATGTCCTTCTTTGTTTTAGCAGGCACCATGTGTGCGGGGTTAATAATATGTGGGTCTTTTAACCTATGTTGTAAATTACCCGGTAGGGGGTCCAAATGGACCGAAGCGGCCGGATCCACTGCAGCAGCCAGTGACTTTTGCTGGCTATCTGCATCCATTTTGTCTAGCTTGTCAGTAATACGCCCCAAAGAGGTCAGAACTGAGGACAGAATCGTATTCAGATCTGAAGACTGGGTGCCACTGGACCCTTCACCCGCCCCCGCATTATCAGTCTGTGTGTTCAGCAATCTGTATAGTTCTGCTTTCCTAGCTGTAGCAGGGAAAGGAATATTTCTCTTCCTTAATTCGGCCGTGATCCTGGGAATAGTCCATGCCCTGAGTGAGGCAGGGCTTGCGATGTCGTCACCCCGAGACGGCGTGACTGATCTAGCTGGTGTACTGGGTAAGGACTCAACTTCCCTTCCTTCCGGAGCTTGAGACATGCTACAACATAAAATAACATGTTACCTGGGGTGCTATCCAACTGGCTTATGATAACTAATGCCAAGCGGCGAAGAATTATTAAGTAACGTGACAGGTGAGGCCCTGCTAGTAGCCAAGCGGCCTTGAGAGGCACTATCTATGATTTGGCGCATGTGGAAAACGTGGCCATTGGCATTATGGCAGGGTGGTGGCCTCTCTGTGACTTGTAAAGGCATAAGACAGAATGGGAGTGACAAGTGACGCCCTCTCTATGCAACTAAGCGAGGCGGCTAGCTATGAAATGGCCCGAGGGAATGCCGTACCTCCGAAATGAGGATGGGTGTTGGCCTCGCGGGACCACTAACGAAGGCATAAGAGGCCAGAAAACGTAGCTAGTGGGTCCTATTTATTGTAAGCCAGTAAATCTGTACTAAGCCGAAAGGGAAGGTATGGGGAAAATAGTCGAAAAAGATATGACGTACCTGATGAGCGGTTTGACAGCTATAATGAGGAAAAGGAGGTACAGACGATCTGTAGTCACCTATGAAAGTAATATATATTTGTATGGGCACAGAAATATAACCCCTAAGTCCCCTGTTATTCAGATACCTACCGGCAATATTGCCCTAGCAGAGGGCTGGGCACCAATTAACAAGAGCAAGGATGCCTATACCTAAAATACAGAAAACATATATGAGGACCCTGGCGTAGGGTGACTGTTAAGTAGAAACTCGAGTGAAGGGACCTAAGTCCTGAGCAAGTTGTTAGAATAGCTGCCCACCGTGGGAATGCAGAAAATACTGAAAGAGTTTACACGACATCTTAAGTGCTAATCATGCATATATATATATTCCCAATACCAAGTTCCGTAGTCATTGTTAGGTTAGCAGCCTAATTGTAAAATACGTGCCCCATATAAAACGTATCTGTACATACTACTGATTGTAACCCCATGTGCCAAACTTGCTTTAATAACTGCAATTTTAAAATAGCATAAATGACAGAACAGGTATAAGAATTCAAAATCACCATTTTTTAGACACCAGAGGTCGCTCTGGTACCTAGTGTATGCTTTAGGTAACAGCGTTGTAATGAATGGACACAGGAATAATAGTAACGTAAGAAATAAGCATAAGAGTTCTTATAATGTGACAAAGTTGTGAATAGGTTGTTGTATAACATAGTATTACAATAGAAATTGTGAGCGTGTAGTATTGATGCTTAGTGATGACGTAAAACGGCCGCGCCGCCAAATTTGCGACGGCCGTTTTAACTTACGATTTGCCGTGTGAAATTTTTTTCCGCCGACTGCCTGACCTAGCGTGCTCCCGCCCGTGGTATCCGGATGTAGTGCTGGATGCTTCGGAGAACTGCCCGACCTGACGCGTGCGAGCGAGCCCGCCGGAACCTGCTGTCCGAAAACCGGAAGTGACGAAGACTTCCGTGAGAATCCGTCGCACCTAACAGGTAGTGAGGGAAGGGTCTGGAGTCCCTTAAGAAGGGTAACCCAGCCCTTCCCACAACTTCAGGCCACGCCTTCTATATATCTATATATATATATATATATATATATATATATATATATATATATATATATATATATATATATATATATATATATTCTATTAAAGTGGTTCTGGGACCACTAAAATCCCATTGTTGTCTGAGAAAGGGTATTGTTTACATTACTACCTAGTAACACCTAGTTGCAGTCACTCAGCCACTAAAGGTGCTTCTTGGGTCAGTGCAGAGCACTGACCTTTAGTGTGTCTGCGCTATGCATGGGGATGCTGACTGCTCTGATTCAATGCGTTTCTACAAGGAGATGGTGATTGGTAGTGGTTTTTGTGGATTTAAAGGGCTACATGCAGTGCTGACTTTGCAGTGCTACATGCAGTGCTGACCCTCCAGGGTCTGTTCAGACCCTGGGGTCTCCCAAGCACCAGATAACTTGAGAGAATGACTGACTGACTGACTGACTGTAGCTGAGCTTGATCGCTCAGCTGCAGTATTTTTTTTTTTTTGTGGATTTAAAGGGCTACATGCAGTGCTGACTTTCAGCACTGCATGCAGTTCATCAAAAAGTCTGGGGCCACTAAAAATGGCCCCAGCTGACAGAGGGCACCCCCAGGTTTCTAATGATACCTGGGTTTCCTGGTGTGAGCAGGGATTTAACCCTGCTTACACCACAATCTAGATATAGGCATTTAAATGCCTATTTAAGCAGATACATGCCGCGCTGACTTCCAGCACTGCATGTAGCTCATCAAAAAGGCTGGGGTCACTAAAAATGTCCCCAGCTGATAGAGGGGAGCCCCAGGTTTCCATTGATACCTGGAACTCCCTTGTGTGAGCAGGGATTTAACCCTGATCACACCAAATTGTAATAGTGGGGATTTAAACCCCATTTAAATGCTTGTTTGCAGCGCTCACTTTGAGCTCTGCAAACAAAGCATTGGTCAGTCTGGGGCCACTAATTCTGAATCAAATTATACCTGGGGCTTATAGTTACCAGCAAGGTAAAAGACCCTGCTGGAAAAATACTGCACGATGGAAATTTTCCGTCATGCGTCCTTAAGGGGTTAAGCGGTGCTCTTTTTGCTTCCTGTCATACATTTTGAGATCCAAGTATGATTCAGATAAGCGAAGGTAAAATACAAACTAGAAACCATGTTACTTAAATTGAAATGAGGTTAGCAAAAATCTGACCTAAGAATTGTTTTGTTTTTTTTCCCTGCAGAATTATATCCATGGAAGCAGCCAAGCCCAGTTTGTGGCTGAAACACACATCGTCCTCTTGTTCAGTATCCTTTTTTAAAAAACAAAAAATATATATATCACATCTGATTTTCAGATCAGCAGAACATGCATTTTCATTTATTAAAGGAAACCTTTACGTTCAATAGGAAAACATTAAATATTTGCTAACTTAGTTAGCTCATGGTTTTGTTTTTTTTGTTAGTTCCTTACATCCTTCTTTAGATGGTGGAGTGACACTGGGAATGGTCCTGTTACACGAAGCTGCTACTTCTGACATGGATTTGGGGAAGAGAAAAAGTGAGTACTAATAAAAGTTATAAAAGACAAATCCATGTTGTGAAAGTAATACAGAGATCCAAATAGGTTTAGCAAAAAAAAAAAAATCTTGCATGTGTGAGAAAATATGCAAATATACACAGCTTCCTGAAGTGCTTTATTAGTTTGGAAATGATAATCATAATTGGGAGCAGAAACACTACCTTGTCTGTCAACCTGAAATCCAGGTACTCTATGCTCGGATTATGAGATGGGCACAAGCATGTGGCTTGAACATATTGGGAGTCCAGATGACCTAACCTCAACAAGAATCCCTTGATGATGTGATCCTTCACTAACCACCATTGTGATGCTGATTTCACCTTTCACTGTTTGTAGTGATCCAGGAAAAATCTATGAGGTATCCTCACATTCTATTGAGCCCACCTAGTAAGGCTTCTTGTGAATTAAAGCGAACACAGGAGACTCCTGAACTCCCTTGCTGTGATGCCAGAGAGAGAGATATACTCCCTAACTTTCTCTTGGATGCGAAGACCCCTCTTTTGGCATGCTGGAGTTATATTGAAATCATTCAGTCTTAAAGTGACAGCACTTTTATGATTGAGTCTATAGATTCCCTGTTTAACATCCTGATGTTTAAATATTCATTGAGCATGTGCAGATCCTTCCTCCTGAAGCTTTTGGAGATTCCAGAGTAGCAGCCTTGCTATTGATGGAAAACTAGACTTCTCATGATGAGTTCTTGCTTGAGAAGAGAGGAGGTGAAAGATTTCAGTGCTGCCACCATTCTCTGGATCTGTCTGTAGACAAATTTGTTGTAATCTTCCTAGAAGTGGAACATGAAGAAATTCTAGAAAATAGCAGTCTGTCAAGATGCACAAACCAAATGTTCTTCCAGACAGTGACAAACCGATGAATTCTTGCATTTACTGGGCTGAGGCATAGAATACAGTCAGGATTGTCTTCAAGTGCAAAAGGAAGAAGAACCCGGAGACTGCCCAGCTAAAACAAATTAATACTTTTTCTTAGAAACTTAAGCTCAGCCAAAAGCATCACTTTTTCATCTAAACGTCTTCAAATGAATCGACTTGAATTAGAAGAAAGAGGCACAATAGACTAACTTAGTGATATACTTGCTGTTTCACTGACTGCAGCTGGTTGTGAAATAAAGAAGCTTCCTTGTTTATTACAAGTAAACTGATTAATGTAGCAACTTTATATCCTTAATTAGGCTTATCAGAATGTAACACAAAGTAGGATAAAATCTTGGGTCAACTCTGTTTTCCTGCTCACTGTGGGAGTGTTCTGAGCATAGTTAAAGGGACACTGTAGCTTCTTTATCTCATTGAAGTGACTTTATTGTCTGGAGAACCCCGGTGCTGTCCCTTACTTCAGCATTCAACCGGTTTAATGTTTTACTGCGAAAAAGGGTCCACAGCAACCAATTCCCTCTGTTTTGCTTGGGCTTATGAGGCAGCATTAGCCTGAGCAGCAAATGGTCTGCTGTGATTGGCTGAGCATGTCAGGTGCCTGAGCTTGTCTCCAACCACGAACATCCCTTTCTGAGCAGTAGTGGAGGCAACAAGCCACACCAAGTGGACAACAAGTTATATCATCCAACATCAAACTTTCTAAAACATTTTGGCTCCTTACAACAGCACCAGGGTACTTATGGCATCGTAGCCCCTACATCGTACAATAGTGGTTATGGTGCTTGGCGTGTTCCTTTGAATATTATCATTATATAATTGCAAAGTGCTGTGAAAAACTAACCCTATATAAATGCTGATAATTATAATTTTGTTTATTTCTAATAGTTATGTGTATAGCTGGTTTAGGCCTGGTGGTCATATTCTTCAGCTGGCTGCTGTCTGTCTTCAGATCCAAATATCACGGTTACCCATACAGGTAAGAGTCCATTACTGCTAGAGTTTAGTATGAATACTACTTTTCAAATGTATGAAATCTAATATGTTTAATAAACAAATACATATATAATTACTAAAACTATATAATAGTGTTTTTCCGAAGATGGTGTGGTTTTTATTTGCTTTGTTTTTTCTCGCTTCAATTAATTATCCTTATGCTTGTTCTTGAGCAGGTGCTGGAGGTCTTGCTCCATATTATGCTCTTTCAATGTCTGCTTGTGATTCTGAAGCTTTCTTGTGAGCTTCACATCTGTAGTATGGGCTAATTTTGCAGATTTTATTTTTTTGTAAAGGATCCGATCATGTGTAAACTGTGTTGGAGTACAGAGGCATACTGTGGGAATATTTATGGGATAATAATAGTAACAGTGAGAATTGCCCACTAATTCAATTCTCAGATCCCAAAGAACGTTTATCGTGTTAAGTGGAATGTATTTCATATAATTGATATCACAATGTATAAAAATAGATTTTTATTTATAATGACAATAATTAACAAATAATATTATGTAACATGCATGACAATAATCAATGAATATTCAGTATAAAATGGTATGCAATACAAAGGAATGGGTATTACGTTTCAATGGCTAACTAGCATTATCTGTCAAGACTTCTACGATTTATGACTAGCTTCCACAGACTGAAAGTGAAACTTTTCACACAGAGAACAGAATTCCTCAGAGTGCAGCGTAAGGTCGTAAAGTTTAGCCGACAGTTAGAATAACCCTTTCAATGCTGGCTAGATCTCCTAGGTAGTTAAGATCTACTCTTATGTATTTTTAAATAAAATAACATTTAAACCAGTTTAAATTCATTTTCTTAAACCATCCAATAAGAGAGTCTAATATGTTATATAAGCAGATTTTTAATTTGTCTAAAAGAGATCTATCTTAATTTAGAGCAAATCAATACACCTGGATAAAAACAGCGGTATGCTAACACGTGATAATATCACATCCATATACAATTATTCTTAATTCCACCTGCAGAATGGAATGTTTATAACTATATATTCTTTAGTTAACTAAGATTTCTTAATATGGAAATCTGACCGTGCTTTATCCAGTCATATATAATGCTATTAATACATTTTAATTAATTTAATTTAATTAAATGAAACCAGTATAATTACCAGTTGAGTAGATATTTCATCCGATTGGTAGTCTCTCTGCATGGAGGTGTTGGTTAGAAAGTCAGTAAATTCTAAGTGTTAGAGTTTTAGGAGTAGAGTGTTAGTCTCAGATGTTGTCCGAGTTGGAGTCCCCAAACTTCCAATTCCTCTCTCCTCTCCTTTGCATATCTTGCATCTGCCTCCTCTCCTGAATATCTCTATCTTCCCTTTGTCTTAACTTTTAAAGGGCCAGACTCTCTGTACGTCATCAGTTGATAACCCAATAGAAGCACTAGAGGTGTGGTTATCTTCTAGATCGCAAATTAGGTATTTGGTCTATAGAGGGCAGTCTTGTCCCACTAAACATACCTATCCAGGAAAGAGTTAACTTTTCCTGGTGGCTATTTTGACGTCATTTTGGCCTATCTAGATAGTGGCTATAACTTACGTATCCTTCAAAGATCAAAGGGGTTCTTACATTTTGTCCAGACTATGTGTCTGCAAATCTGCTATAATTTCTGATATGACAGATCATGAACTAAGTTTACCCTTTTCCATACAATGGTACCTTATATATATAGACAGTTAAATATTAAATTATTTAATCTTCTCTGTCACAATTGTCTGGGTTTAGATTTGATTATATTCTTTTAGCATTAGACAGTCTGTCCACCCCCTTCCTTATCACTTGTTTATACTATGCATTCCTTAGCTCTGGCAAAGAGGCCAGTCTTACAGAAAGAAATCTAGTGTCTTCTTTGTTAATTTGAAATAACAAAATGGAGTCTGGTCTGTTCAGAGTGACTCAGAATATACACTTTTAGTTTCTATCATAGCACAAAATGTCTGCCGATATAAATACTCTGACAATACCTTGAATATTTATGTTCGTTGTAGTGAGGGGGGTTAAACGATGGTCTGTAAGGAAAACTAAAATACAGCCTCTAACCCAAATTTTCTTTTTCTTTCAGTTTTCTTATGACTTAAACAGGAAAAAAGGTACCAGAAGGGCAGCATGAAACTTGACTGCAATGCAATATCATAAAAGACTAAAGCTAATCTATTATACCCTCTGCTGTCAGACATCATTGACCACTGTTGCTGCAGGGTGTTTCCTCACACCACAGCATCTGGATTTGTTGTGATTGAGATTAAATTTATTTTTGTGGGTGAACCAAAGAAGTCATGCAGTGCCTTAACATGCAGTAATTTTTTATTTTGTTTATTTCTTCGTGAGTATCCTAATTACACTTTTATTTTTTATTTTATTTTAACCGGCAACATAGTGACTTTTTTTTTTTTTGCTTTTACAATGGTTTTTATGTTGATAACTAATCTATTTGTAGACAGAATTTACAGCAATACCTACAACACAGGGAACAGTTAATTGAGAGAGAGAACTTTTTGTTTGTTTTTGTTTTATTCCCTTCTACTATTACTACAAATGTTCTGATTTGTAATTTAAAGGAAAATTGTATCTGGTTCAGTAATTTGTAATGCATATTTGTTTTGACTTCCCATTTTTAACATTTTATCATTTGTTGTAAAATGTATGCACATGTTGTAGAGCTTTTGTCGTGAAGTACATTCTGGGTACATGTTTACTGGTGTGAAATGCCTTATTCTGAGTCAGCCCTACAGAAACTTCATAACATATGTAGCTGTGACTGTCATCTATGGTAAAAAAAAAAAAAATAGTAAATTATTTCAATATGGGGAAGTTTTGCATTTATTACGAACATACATGCAAAAGTACTCTACAAAATAGGTTGGGTTTTTTTTTTTTTTTTCTTTCTTTTTTATGACACTTTTAAATAATACAAGTAGCTACAACTGTGAATCCTTGCACATATGTAGAATGTGGACTTCTCTGAGCATTGAGAAACAATGCTGATTATATTGCATACTTAAAGCACAAACTCTGACAGCCCCGGTGCACTGTTGTTTCTGGTGTAAGTGAAAAGTTCATCCCCATCACCCAAACTTTTTTTACACTTCGATTTGAAATGCATTTTCTGATTACATATTTTGGAGGAATTGGGTAAAAACAATGCAGTGTTTTTTTAAAGCTTGAATTTGTCATGCCTGAAGCTTGTTCTGTTAAGCAAATCATTTTTTTTTTTTAACATGATGTACAGAAAATGTTGAAATTACAAGCTCAACTAATGCAATTTATTACTGCTAGTTTTTACACCAATCTTTTGCAGTATAAAGAGATCTATTTTCTTTTTCCTTGAAATCTAAGAGTGAAACAAAGTTTATTGGTTTTCAATATATAGGTTATTTGCCTGAAACGTGATTTTTCACTTGTTTGCTTAGATGTAATAAATCTGAATGTTGATTTTTATGCAAGTTTACTAAACATTCAAAGTGCCTGACATGCATTACTGTAGTTAAGGCTTCAAAGTTTGTTCGGTTTAAACTAAGAAGTGCCAAACGTGTTATAACTTATGGGTGGATTGTAACCTTTGTCATCCTTAAAGTGGCACTGTCATTGTCTGGGGACTTTGCATAATTCACAAAGACCCCTGACTGTGACATCACTGCTGGGGGTCCAGTGGCTGGTGGGCAGGCAAAAGGGAGTTTACTGAACCTGTCCTTTGTGGGCGCTACAATTTTCTTCTGGTTCGTCCTCTTCTTAATGGCCAGGAGCTAACGTCACTGCTGTACTCTCTTGCATGCGCGAGTGTACCGCACTGAGGTCAATTGAGGGTCCTGCGGGATCCTCATAGACCGAGCAAATGGTGATGGCTGCCACTTTGGTACGTTTCGATGGCAGTAGCTTTGTCCAGTGTCTTGAAGTGTCAGTCGTAGGAAAATTACTAAAACAAAGTAGTCCTTACTTTGTCTCAGTATATCGTTTGATTGGGTTGAAATTTCAGAAAGATTTGCTTCATGAAATACTCATTTTGCAGGGGGTGTGACGATGCCGCTTTAACTTGTCTTTAAACTCTTATGAATCGTATGAGTATTGATTCAACTATATTGAAGAAGTATCTGCCGTTTGGAAAACTTTGGTTTCGAAATTGTTTTATTGATCTGTTTATAATATTCTAATGTTCAATAAAACTTCTAAATGTAATATCTAGTGTGTTTAATGAATGCTTGATTTAATCCATAAAATATAGGATTTTTTCCCTTCAGATTAGAGGCAGTGCTTTACAATTGGGATTTCATCACATGGAGGGAAAAAACAGGCAGGCAATCTCCCAAACTTTTCAAGAACCTCCCCCAATTAACCTTTGGCCTTATAAATTGCTTCCTACCCAAGACATCTCCAGTTCTTTGCCTGCTTCCGACAGAGGAGGGTGTCAGGTTCAGGTTTTCTCCCTAGAAGTATGGTGAGAGGGCTGAGGCTCCGGAGGCTCTACTTCTTTTAAATACATTTTTCAGAGATCAGCCAGGGATAAGACACCAGACGGCTATATCTCCCCGGGTTGTATTACTTCCGTCTATACTGAGCCAGGTGCCGGGCAGACGATGGTGTGCATTTGGGCACTAGCTGGGAAGTCCTGGCGGTGGAACACTCGTACAGATTATGTTTATTTCCACCGTGGAATCGCGAAATGCAGGACATGCGTAATGCGATTTAAAATTCAGGCACCAATATCTTTATTTTTTCTCTCCGGGGTCAAGATATTGGTTTCCAGGAATTAGAGAGGCTGTTTACCCAGCAGCAACTAACTGTTGCCAGGTGCACTCAGAATCTGTTGCAAGTGTGTTCTCACCAACCTCAAACACACTCTGAGGACATTTAAGGTAAGCCTTTTTGCTTTATCTTAAATGACTCTAGCCTGAATAAGTTAATTATCTGTGCTGCAAGGTGGATAAGCTAAAAAAGTGCAAATGTTTCTAAGTTGGAGAGTTTTTAGCTTCTCATCACTTAAAGATTATTACCAAAACCTTAAAACAAAGTGCTTTGGAAGGGTAAGCACTTAGTAGATCGGGCCCAAAATAGATTATTCTTTGAGTAAAGCCTATAAAGGGTATTAGATAGAATTATGTAAAAGTATATGCTATTTGGAAATTTTAAGTTTCCTTTCTGGCTCAAAATAGCTGCTACACAGTGATTAGCTAATATGGTTTTCAATAATCACTAATTGCTGCAACAGGGTCAGCAATTAAAGTGAAGTGTGACTATTGGAGGATTATCCTCTGTATGTTATCCTTAGGAGGCTGATATTTAAAATCTGGTTTTGGTTAAGTTAATATACTGTTGTAACAGAGGGATTCTTTAACCCCTTCAGGACGGAGTCAATAGTACACGTTCTGATCAAAACGTAAACAAAAACTGGAATTTGCGCTATGTCTGTTCACCCGTAATTCACCGCTGTCACATTAAGTGCACCCACACTTATTATATATCATTTTGTTCAGGAGAAACAGGGCTTTAATTTATCATTAATTATTCATATATGGAACATCATTTATTATGAATAAAATGTAAAAAATTTTTAGAAAATAAGATTTTTTTTTTTTAAATTTGTATTTCCGTCTGACATTTTAGTTGTGAATGTCATAATACTGTTAGGTATTACTGCAAAAAAATGCACATTTGTAATCAGCGATGTCTCACGAGTACAACAGTACCCCCCATTAACAGATTTTATGGTGTTTTGGAAAGTTACAGGGTCAAATATAGAACGTTCCATTTTCAAACTGAAATTTGCCAGATTAGTAATGTTACCTTTTGAGACGGTGTGGTAGCCCAGGAATGAGAATTACCCCCATAATGGCATACCATTTGAAAAAGTAGACAACCCAAGGTACTGAACGTGGGGTATGTTTAGCCTTTTTTAATAGCCACTTAGTCACAAACACTGGCAAAAGTTAGCGTTCATATGTTTTTGTGTGGGGAAAAAAGCAAAAAGCTAATATTTGGCCAGTGTTTGTGACAAAGTGGCTACTAAAAATGACTGGACATACCCCATTTGCAATACCTTGGGTTGTCTACTTTTGCAAATGGTATGCCAGCATGGGGGTAATTCTTATTCCTGTGCTACCATACGCTCTCAAAGGCAACATAACCAATCTGGCAAATTTCAATGTCAAAAAAATGAAATGCAAGCCTTATATGTGACTCTATAACTTTCCAAAACACAATAAAACCTGTACATGGGGGGTATTGTTGTTTTTGGGAGACTTCACTAAACACATATTAGTGTTGTAAAACATATTACAACAATAATATAGTCCATAAAAGTGCAGTTTGTTTGTAAAAAATGCAAAACACTTCACTTTTACTTAAAATATAGTTGTAATACAATTTACCAGTTTGAAACACTAATATTTGAGTTCAGCGAAGTCTCCCTAGTAAACCAGTAGCCCCTATGTACAGGTTTTATGGTTTCTTGGAGAGTTACAGGGTCAAATATAGTGCTTGCGAATTAAATTCTCTGCAATTTCTCCCTGTGTTGTCAGGCATGTCAATCAAATTTTAATTAATCAAATCACATAATTATGTTAAAAGATTAAATATGCACGTAGAATTTTAATATATATGCATTTATAGGTATTTAAATTCTACGTATATACTAATGTAATCTTTTATGTAATTATATGTATGTATCTATATTTGCAGTTATTTGTTTATTTTTATATATATATATATGTGTGTGTGTGTGTGTATTTAGATATAGATAGATATAAATAAAATACAGTTAGAGTGAAATTACATATGAATATATAATTTTAATAAAATTTTGTTTCAATATTTTTATTTTATTTATGTTATATATTATATATATATATATATATATATATAAATTTTATATACTTTTTATTTTTTTTCATTTCCCACCAGCAGGGGGACTGTCTGATATTTCAGACAGTCCCCCTGCTGGCAGATCCATATGCAGCTATAGGGGGCCATGTGATTGCTCTTTGAGAGCGATCACATGGTCCCCGGGGGCCTCATTCGCCGGGGGAGGGCTGCCTGGGCGGTCTCGCAGCCCTCCTGAAGAGGATCTCAGCGGAGGTAAGTAGCTGCGATACCCTGGGGCTGAAAGCCGTTACGGCGTTCTATGCCGCCGCAACGGCTTTAAAGCCGCGACGGCATAGAACGCCGTAACGGCGTTAAGGGGTTAAATGCCAGGATCCTAGCCGAAGTGTTTATTTTCTTAAACATGCAGTAGGCTTTTAGCAATTGCTGTAGACAAAGCTCTGTTGCAATTAGCATTCTCACCACCTCAACTAGTTTCACCTGATATCAGTTTCTAAAAAGGCAGTCTGTTTTTCAGCTGGGGCAGAACTTTTCCTGTGCTTCACTCAATGGTTGCACATTTTTATGTTTTATCTTAAATTCCAAGTCCTATGTTGTCAGATAGGTTTGAGCTAACTGTTGGAATGGAAATTTTAAAGAAAATGCTTCCTAATCTGGTTTCCTGCAGAGTTTACATCAAACAGGTTTTGAAATGCAGTTGCAGATATTCTGTCTGCTCTAGCCTGTTTCCCAAATACGGCTAAAGAAAACCTCTATCAGGTTGGGCTGTTGGTTGGAATTGCAATTTTAAAGAATTATTTCTAATATTGATTCCGGCAGAGTTTGCATCAAACTGGTTTTGAAATGCAGTTGCAGCTATTCTGTCTGCTCTAGCCTCTGTTTCCCAAATAAGGCTAGGGAAAGGCTCTATCAGGTAGGGGTGATGGTTGGAATTGAAAATTTATGATTGCTTCCTAATATTGGTTCCTGCAGAGTCTGCATCAAACAGGTTTTGAAATGCAGTTGCAGCTATTCTGTCTGCTCTAGCCTCTGTTTCCCAAATAAGGCTAGGGAAAGGCTCTATCAGGTAGGGGTGATGGTTGGAATTGAAAATTTATGATTGCTTCCTAATATTGGTTCCTGCAGAGTCTGCATCAAACAGGTTTTGAAATGCAGTTGCAGCTATTCTGTCTGCTCTAGCCTCTGTTTCCCAAATACGGCTAAGGAAAGCCTATAGCAGGTAAGGCTGTTGGTTGGTATTGCAATTTTAAATAATTACTTTTACTATTGATTCCAGCAGAGTCTGCATCAAACAGGTTTTGAAATGCAGTTTGCAGATATTCTTTCTGCTCTAGCCTCTGCTTCCCAATTACGGCTAAGGAAGGCCTGGATCATGGGTATTGTCTTATGCAGACTGTATATCTACGTAATCAGTCTCGCTTCCGCCAATAAAGATGGTAACCTGTATGAACTAGTCTCCATGGAAAATTATTTCTTCCTCATGTTACTGGGCTTGAAGCAAGTTCTAGTACAGCTGCAAGCCTATTGATCAAGGTGTAGTTCCACCAGGTTCAATTTGTTCCCTGCACTGAAATAGATACAATATGACTGGGATGCTTTACTGCCTAGGTTTGTCTGCAGTTTTCTTTTAAGAAAAAGCTTATGGCAATTGCCACTTGAGATTCTCTCACTAGGCAAAATGTTGACATCCATAAATTTGTTGAATCTCTACAATACTGCTTCCTCAGGGGCACCTAATTATTTTTTGTACACCAGCCCCTAAAGGTTAGGGTGTTTCTACAGCATACAGGTGGATGCTATCAATCTTCTGATAAAGAATTCCTTTTTCAAGAAGTGTGCAGTTCTGGTGTTTGTCAAGGAACAGTTCAGGTGTAAATATTTTGACAAGGGTTTTTGACTCTGAGAATGGTAATTCCCTGAAGAAAAAAATGTGTGGTTCTCTCTGTCCTTATCACCTGAAATCTCTCTTCTACTTCAGTAGACAAGATACTAGGGAAATAATATTGGTTCCCGTCTTGTAAGAACCTGCTTGGTCTCTTCAGCTTCTTTAGGCATAACACTGTTTACAGGTCCTTCAGTGGCCAGATACAGTTGCTGATAAGATTTTGCAGTAAAATCCTATACTTCGGTCATTCCTTTTGAACCAGGCAGAAATAAAGGATGCCAGATGGTTCTTACCTTTTGTTCTAGTTCTCAAATCAATCGTTCAGAATTTTACGACTGATGCTTCAGGTCTCAGCTAGGTTCTCATAGGGTTGAAGGGAAATTAGCTGAGATAATTTGTAAAAACTTATCCAACTACATAGGACCGAAGGCTATCTGGCTAGCTCTCTGCCTTTCAGATAAAGACCAGGTATTATCTTATCCAGGTCAGATAGTTCTACATCGGTAGCAATTATGTACAAACAAGGTCATCTTGTTTGAAAAATCTTGTTCCAGCATATGCTTGTTAGTTTTTCTTAGGTCTATTCACTTATGCATAGAACTTAATATTCGTCTGTTTAGCTGTAGCATTGAGTAGTCAACATTTAATACAAAGCAGATTGGTTCATAGTCCCTGATCTTCACCCAAACAATAGGAAGATTTTGATTATCCAGTTATGGAACTGGGACTTCTAGATCAAACAGATAACATGAAGTGTTTCATTGGACAAGCTTGGACAGACCAGTAAGCTTTGGTTTCCTTTTCTTTCTTGGGCATTCCAGTCTAACTTATAGTTTCCTCCTGGTTCCCTATTCCCCAAGATCCTATAGGATGGAAAAGGTGAGAATGATAGTCTTCCGCCCTTGGTGGCAAGTAGCTGTTTCACCATTGCTCAAAAATTATCCAGAGGAATCTTTGGGGATCTTACCTGTAAATAGGCATCCTGGAATTCCCAAGGGTACCACTTCTCAAATTTGTTGTAATTCAAGCTGACAACCTGGTTTATGTATACCAGATACTGAAGGATAATGTTTTGTCTCAGGAAATTATTGACAATTTATTTTACTATAAATGGATCTTGTTCCAAGATTTATTTCAAGTATGGAAGGTGTTGTTTTTTTTAAAGATATTGGTTCATAGAAAAGCAGGCATCCGAGGCGGAGCCTAGCGTCTGAAGCAAACGGTCGCATGGCCGTGGAGCTCTGGACCGACAAGCAAAATAAAAGCAAAATAAACCTTATTACCGGCACTCCAACCCACGCCAAACTTCTCCCGGGACGACCCCGAGACCCCACTGTCAAGATGGGCAGAAAAAACAAAAAAGCAAGACCTGACAAGCCCCACCAGGGCATGGATATCGGAGAATTATGGAGACAGGCGCATGATGCTGCAGGAGCCAAGATGGCGTCCCTGCACGGCGGCTGCTCAGACGTCACTGATTGATCATTGGAGGATGATGGGGGAGACCCCCATGGGGCCCATGCCGACCCAGTCACCAGCGCAGCCATTTACAAAGCCTCACACCCCTGTGACCATGGAGGCAATCTGAGCACTTATGGCCAACAATCATAAGAAAATAGCAGATGATGTGGCCCTGCTCAGAGAGGACATTAAAGGCATCACCAACAGGCTGGGAGTAGTAGAATCTTCCTCCACTGGCCACACCAACCAGATTGCAGTCCTCCAAGAAGCGATCCGAGACCTGCAACAAAAAGCTCAGCACCACGAACAGCAACTTGCCGCTCACGAAGATAAAAATAGTCGGAATAATATAAAGCTAAGGGGGGTACCTGACACCGTTCCAGAGACCGAACTCCCACATTTCGTCAGGAGATTACTTACAGAGCTACTAACCCCAAAAGCAGCGAAAGCAACCGCCCTGGAAGGAATATTTGCATACCGCGACCAGCAAAAGCCCCACCAACTGCAACAGGTGTCCTAATTCTCCAATTTCAGTCACTCAAGGACAAAAAAGCAGTCCTAGAAACCGTTGGAGGACAGCCCACGTATCCCTTTGAGGGAATGACCCTCTCATTTTACGCGGATCTGTCGGGAGGGACACTGGCATGGAGGAGACACATGAGCCCACTCACAGCTCTCCTGCGCCTCCATCAAATCCGGTACCGCTGGGGACCAGGTTGCACTCTCACAATAGAAGCAGGAGGTAACAAACATACTCTTCACGACATGCAAGAGGCCACTGGGACGCTGAACCTACTTGGCCTCTCCACGGACTCACTGGCTCCGATGACGCGACCAGCAGGCCAAATGCGCCCACAAGGAAGATACTTAGCCGATGCCCCGGAGTTTGTACCCCGGAGAACAACCACGGACCTATACGCCACGACCACCACTTGAAACAGGACAAACCCTGCAGGACTTGCATAAAGAACTGTACAACACTATAAATACCCCCCGACAGCCCGAGAGTCCAGGTACGCCTACAACTCGAAGTTCCCACACGACTATGCTGAAAACGGGACCTGTGCACCATAGGGGGACGCCAAACCGGACAATTGGACTAATATAGTTGAACTACATCGGCACATTTAAGTGTTGTTTTTTTGTTCTGTTTACTTTTTTTCCTCTTCATTTTCTGTTACTTCTGTGGGCCTTAGCTCACATACCTGAACAGCCAGCCTTGGTTAAAGACACCAGTCAGTTGATTCTATTATATGTTTATACGCTAGTCATATAACCTCAACACGCATAACATTATGCCTCAAAGGATTACTATACTATAAATTTTTCGTGGACGAAACCGCTCAGGCACATATACGAACATTTGCACCCTCCACTTACGAGCATATTAAGCCCAACGTGACATCTCATGTCAGCCATAGGAACCAGAAATCTGTCACCACACATACTCTTGTCACGGAGGAACGCCAGACCTGCTGCAGACTCTCTACTCATACGCATAGGCCCAACCTTCACACACAGGCTATTAAAGCCACACATAATTAACATTTAGCTATTAATGAATAGCTTTTACACATTGAATTCCGTTTGACGCCTACAAAAATAGCCCACTCCAAACGCACGGTATACAGACCTAAACTATACATTAGGGCATATCTATAAATACATTCTTACTGCTATATAGGTTCACTTATGCACAACTTATGATGCCTTTAACATGCCTTCACCAACACTTGCAACGCAGCATGCAATGTGCAAGTCGTGATATATGCTATCGCTACTTTAAAAACTGCCTAATGTATGACCGAGCACTGTTAATGTTACCTAACTTGTTTTTTCTAAATTGTCCTTCCTCACCATGCCAAAAAATGTGCTTCTAAATGTAATACAATGTCTTACTCTGTTTTGGTCCGCGTCTGTGCTCATACATTTACCAATAGGATAGACCCAGCATACTGTATTGTATAATGGCCACGCAGCCCAACCAGGTTATTCATGTGCTGTAGCCTGAAGCTCCACAACTTACATTATATATTGAAATAAACTGCAGCAGTTCAAACATAGTTAATGTAACCACTAGCTGGACTGACTATTTACCATAGCCGCGCTAGCATTGTACGATAAAGAAGCAACGTTTCAATCTATGGCATTAATCACTTATTGTTTCATGTTGACATGTTTGATCTAACCTTGTACCACACTTCTTCCGATAAGCGGAACTGAAAAACTACCTGATAAGCAACAATTATACATAAAAATGTGCAGTAACCTCTAATGCCTGACTACTGTAACACGATGTCTACATAACTGTACACCCTTGCTATTGTGGCATTGAAAGCATGACGTGTTGAACCCCTGCACAAATAAAATAAAGAATTAAAAAAAAAAAAGTAGGCATCCGCTTCCAAGTTTTAACCTCTTTTTTTTCTTCGGATGGGCTTTGCGGATGGTTTAAAGCCAGAGATCCTCAAGGTCAAATTTCAAAGGTTTGTCTCCAAATCACCAGTATCTGCTAGGCTCTTTCCTGGTTAGTTCCTATCTTCAGGGGATCTTCTTTTGTTTTTTTGTTTTTGTTTTGTTTTTTTACCTCTGCTGATTTGTGTCTTCACTCTAGATCTTTTGGGGCAGTCGCCCAAAATATTTTTGGGAAGAAGTTCAAGTTCTTAAGGTTTCCATTTTCAGCAGGAGAAAGTGAAGTTAAGTTGGATTCTTTAATTCTTCTCACTCTTCCATCTAACATTATTTTTCTAACTTTTCTCAACAGCGTTCTAGGGTCTTGGAATTCTAATTCCACTGCCTGGGCGTTTAGTTCTCGTCTACGTTACCCTAAAAGTCTGCATTCGTTTGGGTTTTGTTCTTATCTTACACCAATCTCCATTGAAGCTCCTTCGATCACAGTTATGCTCAGATCGGTTGCTTGAGGGCTTCGATTCTCTCGATTTCCTAACAGCCACGAGGTGATCTCTTCACTTAATTTGGTCTGTTGATCTTGGAAGATACAACTTTGGTCTCAGGTTTTGTGCAGTGAGAATTGAGTCCCGCCCTAAGGGATTGCTTTTGGATATCCCAGTTGTAAAGCACTGCCTCTAATCTGAAGGGAAAACCAAAATTTTTTACTTACCGTAAATTTCTTTTTACAGAAGATTAGAGGCAGTGCTAACTTCTGCCCCCAAATTTGTTCATAGTCTGAGTGGTACGGTTATTCGGCCTTTGTAATTTCTGGGGATGTCTTGGGTAGGAAGCAATTTATAATGCCAAAGGTTAATTGGGGGAGGTTCTTGAAAAGTTTGGGAGATTGCCTGCCTGTTTTTTCCCTCCATGTGATGAAATCCCAGTTGTAAAACACTGCCTCTAATCTTCTGGAAAAAGAAAATTTACGTTAAGTAAAAATTTGTTTTTTGCATGTAGCAAAATTTGTTAAAATAACACAAGCTTTAATGCCTAAAACTATTTAATTTAAAACGTTGGAAGATTTTGTTTTTCTTTTTTTTTCTATCAAATGAAATAGAATTGTTTAGTTCAAAACATACTAATGCAGGCAAACACTGCAATTGTTTATTTTTAACCCCATTAGTGCTGAAAATGTCCCAGCAAGCTATTAAATTATACATTATTTTTTTACTGAGTACTTTTAAAACAGCTTATCTTTTGTGCTAATGTAAGCCATATGGTCTACAGGTGGAGGCACTACAAAGCTTGATGAACAAAATTAAACAACTGCCTTCTTGGAAAGGTTCTCAACAGCAGAATACACAATAAGAATGCAATGTGAAGGAGGCTTCTTTTTTTTGGTCATTTGACCCTTCCTACCCATTAGTGCTCCTGGATGTTATAAATGAATTAAATTACGATATAGCTATATTCTAGAATTAACCTCAGTTGAGTCTGCATTTATTTACCTGGCCATGGATATAACAACTTCTGTTGGAAAGTGAGTGCACATTAATCAATTACAAATTGTGTTTAACCTAAGGTCTCATTTATGAATGCTAGTAGGTGATGCATGATACATCATATGATCATTCAAAGTGGCGATGTATAATTTGGAAAAGCAGTAAGGGAATTTAAATGTAGTTTCTTCTTGCTGTCTGCTAATAAATATTAAAACTTTTGATTTCTGAGTGTGCAAGAACTTTCTGTATTTGTGTTAAAAGTATTGTCCGCTGTAGATGCTAAAGCATGGTGGTAACTGCTGGACAACCAGAGAGACTCCATTTTACTACATTGTTGTTCCCATTTTTTTTCATCCCTCTAGATATGACTGTGAAGATGTAAGGGAGAAATATCACTTTTAAGAAAGACAGATCCACTCTTACTGTGGCCCTTTATTATAACATGCAACTGGGATTAGGAATAGGTTTAGTACTAAGCCTGTGTGAAAAGTAAAGTATTTCTCATGTGCTTTTTTCTAAAGTACGAGTACATCATGCTCTGACAGGCAATGAACACTTTGGGAATTCTCACTTTATGTATTCCAGCAGTGAAGTGAGCACCGGCATAAATGAGACCCCTTCTATGGTAAATCCTTCAAGATTGGTCAGGGGAACAGGCAGATTTGGAGTCGAAATTCACCATTTCCACAAAGGTTAGAAATGAGTTAAGATAGCGGATTCATTCAGATTTCCTGTATCTGGGCCTCTCCTTCCAACAAAAAGTCTAGGTTACAAACGCCACAGATGCTTCAAAGCCTGCTTTGGTTGCTCACCTAAATACTTTATTCCATCAAAGCAGATAGTTTGGAAGGATCGGAGCATTCCTCCAACTTCTGGGACAAGAAAGCAGTTCTGATGGGGTTACTTGCTTTTGAACACTGGATTATAGGAAAATCTGTAAGGATTTAATCAGACAGCAATTACCTACCTGTTCACACAAGGAAACGTATGACCACTGTGCTGCCTTACCTTTGAGTGCAGATCAAGTCGTGGTCAGAAAAAAAAGACTGGAAGCTATTTCAGCTGTTTACATGAGAGAAATAGACAACATGATAGCAGACAAGCTCAGTAGAGCACAGTGGACACAAACAGAGTGGTCTTTAGTTGCGAAGAAGTTTTCAAGAATCCAAAAGAAATTCGTCAGCCAGAGATGGATCTCATGGCAACAAGATTAAATTGGAAAGTATCAACATTCGCTTCTCTATTCCAGACAGATCAGCTGGATTGTTTATATGATTGTAAGAAATTATGACCCTCTTCCAAGATTATTCTTTAGGGAATGTGACAAATTAGACACAAGTAGTGTATAGAAACATGTATAATAATATTGAATTAGGTTACAGGTTATACAAGAAAATACACAGTAAACATTATAAACAACTTTAGTCCATAATCAATAAACCTTTAAAGGAAGATCATCTCCTTGCCCCTTCATCTGTTTCTGTATCTATGTCAGTGTTTGTATCGGTGTGTGTGTGTTAATATATATTTACTGGCCATATCCATGGCAGCACAACAATGGGTAGCTCCTCTCTATCCATTAGACAGGAACCTAATAAAAACAGAAGGTATAAGTAACCCTTCCCACCCTCAGTCTTTTTGTTCCTGTCCTATCCCTAGGACAGACTTAGTCTTTCTAAGACTAAATAATTTTTCTTTTATAGCTTACCTGAGGATAGTCTTTCCTCTGGCCCCTTGGGAGTTCAGCCTCTCTTCCTTGAGAAGTCTTCAGTACATGGCACTGTGCAAAGGTGATCCCCTGAAGATACCCCTTTAGTGACCGGGGTCTTTACTTGCTGTGACCCTAGGGGTAGCAAGATCATGCCATCACCCTATTTCCTGCAGAGACCCAAGGGGTAGCAGGCTGGACATGCACATACAGAGCATATGGATTGCAAGGATAAATATGACATTGACCAACATTCCATCACTGATAGAGTTAATGTGAGACTGACTAGCATTCCAGCACTGAAAGGAAAAACATACAACTTTGCTATCATGTACTTTCCCATATATTTACTTGCAGTGACCCTAGAGGTAGCAAGATTATGCCATTATCCGATGTCCTGCTGTGCCCAAGGGAGGTAGCTTTCCACTGCATTTAATCCACGCGAATACACAGGCACTAGTTGAACGGTCACTGCATGCTGTTTTCGCGCATGCACGAAAATCTGATTCACTCGTGCATATTCTGAAATTTAAGTCCAGTTGCAGTGTCTTATTGGCTCCCCCTTGTAAGCACAATTTTTTTTCTTATAGGTTTCTTTTTATATTAAGTAAATAGATTTGTGTGCAGTTTTCATCTTATTTGAATTCTCCTTTTTGGTTTGGTAAGTTTTTCTTTATTGAAGGTATATTACATCTTTTTCTGTATCTATCAATCCCTACTTGTTTTAGCAGAGATTTGCTTTGTTAAGGATAAAAAGGAATCTTATGCAGTTATGGATACAGAGCCCTCTGCTCCTGGAAAAAGAAAAGTCACATAGGTAAGCCATTCTATTTTTTTTGTCGTTCCTAAACAAAAGAGTGCCTATTAATAACTGAAATTCCCTATGATGATATCTCTACAAGAAGGAAATCGTCCGTATCATACAAGGGAAGTCATCCTAAAGGATCCTTTGTGAGGCATATGAAAAGCAAGCCTTGTTAAAGTAAAGTATCTGCACAGACTATCTGAAAGTGGCTACAGGCCCATCTAACCCTGTGCAGTATATTATCTATATCAAACAGGAGATATCTCAAGACGTCATCGAAGCTGTTAAAGCTCGGATCCTCTGAACAATTCCCAGAATGAATACTCTGAGAAATCCTTGAAGATGTATAGATTCAGAGATCTGGAATCATCGGATGAGGACATTCAGCCTATTTCAGTAGTTCCAGAATCCACTCACGTGGACCATTTGATTTCCAGGATCCAAAGGTCCTTCTGCCTGGAAGAATCTTCTAAGGTCGAGCCTTCTACCTCTAGCCTTTCTTTTCGAATGTCAGATGGTGCAGAGCACCTCAAGATCTTTAACGGAGGAATGGTTCTACACAGAGAAGTTTTCAACACAAGGGAGTATTCAGTCTTCATCCATTGGGATTTCGGACATCAGTACATTGGACTTTGCTCCTAAGTGGACAATGCAGTACTTAGACTCGCTAAATGTTCCACTCTGCCTGTAAATGCGGGATCTCTCTGAGACTCCATGGAGTATAGATGGTATTGATCCTTTCTAAAGTCTATGTGCCAGCTGGCACAGACTTTCATCTTGCTGTAAGCTCTTACCTCAAACTCTAAGGATCTAAGATTGGTATGGATAATTTGGAAGAGCATATCATAGATCATTTTCCTTTGTCTGTTGACAATTTACAAGTCATTTAGCCGGAAATAGTCTTCAGCTAAGAAGCCTATGTAGGTTGCATTATATTTTAGCCATAAATATGACTTTCTCCGTCCTACTAGCTGGTCTCTTTGGCTTAGTACCTGGTCTGCAACTGTACACTCCTAAATTAATGTATCAAGAGAATGGCAGAGGGCAGGGAAGCTTGTCTACTGCAAGACCTAAGGTTACAGAGACCATTTTGATCCAAGGACTCTCATTAACTTCCTTCCCGGACCAAGGTATTTCACACCAGGAAGAGAGTATGGTAGATCTCAACCTTGAGAAGTGGTCACTTTCTACCAGAAGAAGAGAAAGGTAAAAAGAGATGCTTTAATTTCCCTTCAATTAGAGGGAGCTATTGTGAGAATGTTTAGATTCTGTTTATTACAGGTGGATGGAAATCCATTCTAGTTTACAGGATTCTTGAACATTCCTCATCATAAAGGTAGTATTCCTAGTACATTGGATGATGTCTATAGATTTGCAGGATGATTATTTCCATATACCCATGGCCCCCACATCACCAGATGTCTCTCGGATTGCAGTGGAAGGATACTTATTTTACATCTTCATAATAAAAGATGAATGTCTGCTGAAATCATATTGCTCCCTCCTAGTGTAGGGTATAGCTGGGAACACGGTTCAACGCAGGCCAATGCATGGTACATCTCTCTTCAGAAAGTGCAGTAAGACTTAAGTAAGTAAGCAAGTAAAGGATGTTGACTGTCATATTACCTCAGCAAAGAGAGCTTTAAACCAGGTCCTCCACTATAGGTCTTATCAGTAGTCACCATCACTTGGACCTTCAGACAAACTATTTATGTAGGTTGTGGGACTTTTCTTATGTTTTAGTCACCCTGTACCCATCATAGATGCAGGGTGTGTGTCATGTAATTGTTTAGTGTGTCAGGGTATCTACACTAGCAGACATTTTGTGTTAAGAAAATTAAAAATGTACCTTATTTTCTGGCGTATAAGACGACTGGGCGTATAAGACGACCCCCAACTTTTCCAGTTAAAATATAGAGTTTGGGATAAACTCACCGTATAAGACTACCCCTCTTCCAATGCACAACAAATAAAAATTAGCCATGATGTACAGTGAGCAGACAGAGCTACACAGCAAGACATTAAATAATGATAATCTGAAATAGCATTTAAAGCCCAGGTATGTGCCAGGCTGTTTGGGCATATAATCCATGCCTGCTGGTCTAGCACACAGGAGGCTAATTGCGATATTCTTTTTACTCCCCCCCTCTCCATTCTTTTTACTCCCCATTCTTTTACTCCCCCCCATTCTTTTTACTCCCCTCACCCCCATTCTTTTTACTCCCTTCACCCCCAATCCTCCCTATATTCTTCTCACCTCTTTTACCATTTTGAGAAAACCCTAAAGGTGAAACGCGTAAATGGTTGTAATAAGTGTATTTTAGTCAATAAAAGTTATTTTTGGTTACCTTTTATTATAGGACCAATTCTATATTTATTTTATTGCACTTTACACACTTTTTTTTTTTTACTCCTGGCATTTTTTTATCATATTTTTATATCATAGTATTTTTTTAAATCACTCCATTATTTTTATTTTATTTTATTTTACATTTTTATTACTCTACTTTTTATTACCGAAGTGTATCCCGTCCAAAGAAATCCTGAGGTGGGGATAATTCCACCAGCACTGTGGCAATAGAGCAGTATCTGTCTGCTCTATTTTTGTAAGTATAACTTATTTATACATATTACTGTGTTGTTCATACTGAGAGCACTATCTGCTGTTTTATATATCTTGTGGACATCTACTACCCAATACCGGAGAG